CTGAAGATAAATAATTATTTTACATTACCGTCAAGTCAGTCAGTCAGTCAGTCAGTCAGTCAGTCAGTCAGTCAGTCAGTCAGTCAGTCAGTCTACAGTCATGCAGCAACAGCGCCCACCGCCTTGCTAATTAAAGCTACATAATGACATAACAAATCGGTAGTTTGCTCTGATGGCCGCCACCTAACAGCCCCCCAGAGGAGCCAATTAAGCGCAGGGATGCCGCTACTGGCGACGCTGAAGGCTAGTCTTACGCTAAACCTGCAAAGGTTAACATTCAGATGGTTCTATGACACTGGTGACACCTTCTCAGATGGGTGAGTGTGTAGGTGGGTGTATGTGTGGGTTCGAGTGGATAGTCTTCTTTACAAAGCATTGTGACTAAAGGGCATTTTCTCTGGATTATGTTACGTTACATCTTAAGCTTGTAGCAAGCAGCACAATCCTTAAGTTTATTCCTAAAGGACGAGGGAAGCAATATGTGCTTTATTTTGCCATAAGATCATCCCACAGGACTTAAAATGTTGTTTGTCGGTTCACACCGACACGAGGAATACTTTCTGTGGCATTACAAAACCCAAGAGTGTGCCACCCACCCAGCCAACCAGGTAATCAGACAACCAGGAAGCCAGCTAGGCAACCAGGAAGCCAGCTAGGCAACCAAGAAGCCAGCTAGGCAACCAGGAAGCCAGCTAGGCAACCAGGAAGCCACCTAGGCAACCAGGAAGCCAGCTAGGCAACCAAGAAGCCAGCTAGGCAACCAGGAAGCCAGCTAGGCAACCAGGAAGCCAGCTAGGCAACCAGGAAGCCAGCTAGGCAACCAGGAAGCCAGCTAGGCAACCAGGAAGGCATCCAGCAACCAAAAATCCAACAAGGCACCAAGCCATTCAGTCAGCAAACTAGTGTGTCAACCAACAGCCTAGCCAAGCTACCAACCAGTCGGCAGTCAACTAACCACCCAACCAACCCAGCCAGCCAACACATTCTATAAAATACAAGCTGATACAGTGGGGGTGGACCAGGTTACAGGTGAAACCAGGTCATTAGAGCAGCTGACGACCCATTAGTCATTACAGAACTCGAGTCACATCTTGGCCCGGCATTGCTCTCATCGTTCCAATTGAAGGTCACGAGTCTCTTAACTTGCCGCTCGAGATCTGGGACATTATACGTGCGCTCGAGTCGTACTAATTGCCATTATTAAATGCCCCCCCCTTGCACGGGGGGACAACAGTTGCGTACTGGGGTGGGTGAGAGTGGGCGGGTGGGTGGGTTATGTGAGCAAGTGGGTGAATATGTAAGTGGGTGTGTGAGTTGGTAGGTAAGTTGGTGTGGTTGAATGTTCAGGTAGATGGGTAAGTGCGCTTGTGGGTTTGGGCGAGTGGATAAGTAGACCAATAAGTGGCCAAGTAGACCAATAAGTGGCCAAGTAGACCAATAAGTGGCCAAGTAGACCAATAAGTGGCCAAGTAGACCAATAAGTGGCCAAGTAGACCAATAAGTGGATAAGTAGACCAATAAGTGGCCAAGTAGACCAATGGGAGAACTGAAATCCCACAAAACCACCACTGGACGAAGCAAACAATACCCTATAAGACAGAGCTCCAGCATTATCAACTTAAACAAAACACACACACACGTTGTTCCTGGCTCTATTGCCTAACCTTAGGTCAGAAAAATATCAAGGAACGGCCGGGCCGGGCCGGGCAGCTCTTCGGAGCATGTTGCTGCTGCTGGCTTGCAAAAGACCAGGTCATCGTGTATCACTAAGACTTTCACCAACGATAGCAACTGTTGCACTCCGATTAGAGTTTGACCTTTTGGCGAGTCCGGGCGTTTTGCTCTAGGGTGCTGTAACGCGCTAAACCTGTCCTCCTGTCTGTGGGAGTTGACGGACAGTTTGAGACAGATATCTGCTTGAAATAAAGAGAGCCCAAAATAAGAGAGCCTCTATTATGTTTAGGGCGGCTTAGGTCTCATCAATAAATACGATCTCAAATCTCAAAAGCATAAATGACACAATACACATTATTTTTGACCCAAGTGTGTTAACACTAAATCATTGTTAGCCCCTAACAAGCTAGAATAAAAAATCGCCCAATTATGCTGTTGTTCCATTAACTGCGCGTCGCAGGTGAACATGTCCTGTGCATGAAGGTGTTATCGTGCACGACACAAAACTGGAAACAGCTTTATATACTGAGCGACGTCTGCCATGTAGCAGTTTATGCTCCGTTGATTACAATATTTATTTTTGTATCAAACGGTGTATTTCCACTGTTGCTGATTTTTTTTTTGGGGGGGGAGGGGGGAACGGCCGTTGGGCCCCCTAGCCCAACAAAACAACTCTTTTGTTTGCACAATTCTAAACAGGATTGAATCGGAGGGAACTGAAACATTGTTATTTAAAACGTGAGTTCATTTCGCTAATAATGACTTGTGTGAATGTGTGTATAGGGTGTGTGTGTGTGTGTGTGTGTGTGTGTGTGTGTGTGTGTGTGTGTGTGTGTGTGTGTGTGTGTGTGTGTGTGTGTGTGTGTTTACTAGTTGTGTTTTTGCGGGGGTTGAGCTTTGCTCTTTCGGCCCGCCTCTCAACTGTCAATCAACTGTTTACTAACTACTTTTTTTTTTTTTTTTTTTTTTTCACACCACACACACACACCCCAGGAAGCAGCCCGTGACAGCTGACTAACTCCCAGGTACCTATTTACTGCTAGGTAACAGGGGCACTTAGGGTGAAAGAAACTTTGCCCATTTGTTTCTGCCTCGTGCGGGAATCGAACCCGCGCCACAGAATTACGAGTCCTGCGCGCTATCCACCAGGCTACGAGGCCCCTGTGTGTGTGTGTGTGTGTGTGTGTGTGTGTGTGTGTGTGTGTGTGTGTGTGTGGGTGTGTGTGTGGGGGTGTGTGTGTGTGTACTCACCTAGTTGTGCTTGCGGGGGGTTGAGCTTTGTCTTTGGTCCCGCCTGTCAATCAACTGATGTACAGAGTCCTGAGCCTACTGGGCTCTATCATATCTACTCTTGAAACTGTGCATGGAGTCAGCCTCCACCACATCACTGCCTAATGCACTCCACCTGTTAACTACTCTGACACTGAAAAAGTTCGTGACCAATTCGCCCAGATCAGGACAAGACTCTCACACGAGGCTGCCCCAGCAACCAGTCTCCCCATTACCGAGAGTGTACAAAAACTGAACACTGACTGACACCTAGTTGTGCTTGCGGGGGGTTGAGCTTTGGCTCTTTGGTCCCGCCTCTCAACTGTCAATCAACTGATGTACAGAGTCCTGAGCCTACTGGGCTCTATCATATCTACTCTTGAAACTGTGCATGGAGTCAGCCTCCACCACATCACTGCCTAATGCACTCCACCTGTTAACTACTCTGACACTGAAAAAGTTCGTGTGTGTGTGTGTGTGTGTGTGTGTGTGTGTGTGTGTGTGTGTGTGTGTGTGTGTGTGTGTGTGTGTGTGTTTCCACTAAACACAGTCTAAACAGTAACATAAATGACCAATTCGCCCAGATCAGGACAAGACTCTCACACGAGGCTGCCCCAGCAACCAGTCTCCCCATTACCGAGAGTGATCGACCCGTCAGTAAGAAATGGAACAAAAACTGAACACTGACTGACAAACGATTAAAAGTGAAACGAGTGCATATGACACTCTAGAAATATACAGAAATAGCGCAGCCGAACGATGAATTGCGTAAATATAATTACAGCTTCCTCGGAGACTGTGCTGACGAATCAGATGTAATTAACGATAACCAATGTTGTTATTACTTCTGCGCGGGCCCTTAACCTTTAACTGACCCGCCTACGATAACAGTTATCTTGAGGTTACCTTGAGGTGCTTCGGGGGCTTAGCGTCCCCGCGGCCCGGTCGTCGACCAGGCCTCCTGGTCGCTGGACTGGTCAACCAGGCTGTTGGACGCGGCTGCTCCCAGCCTGACGTATGAGTCACAGCCTGGTTGATCAGGTATCCGGTAACAGATCAGGTAACAGCCCACATGCACACCACTACTCCACCTGTACCACTTCTCCACACTACTCCACCTATAACCATATCAGCTGACACCTGTAATATCAGCTGATGCTCGTAATACCGGTTGATATTACTGTTAGTTGAACAGGTGCATCAGGGTGAACGAAACTCTGCCCATTTGTTTCCGCCTCCGCCGGGGATCGAACCCAGGCCCTTTAGTCTTTATACCGGCTCGTAATACGTTACATATGAGACGCTACGGGTCTCGTAGAACACCGAGCCATTTTTAGTACGATTTACCTGTTAATGAGGTGGTGACACTTGGGGGGATGGGGGGGGAGGCAGGCTCCTGGTGCAGACATTTATGGCTTTCCTGGGAAAGGGGAATGAGGGGGGTTGGGTTGTTATGTGACGAGTGAGGGAGACAAGGGGGAAGGGGGGAGAGAGAAGTGAGAGATATTGTGTTGCTTTGTGATGAGTGAAAGAGACAAGGAGAGAGAAATGATGAGGGGTTTATGTTGCTTCGTGAGGGGTGATGAGGAGCAGGAGGAGGCCATGAAGAAATAATGATAAACTAGTCAGTAATGCAGCATGGGTGGGGAGAGAATGGCAGATGCAACAACTGTCTCACCAACTCAACCTCAGGCAAATGCACTTGACAAATGCACTTGGACTTACAAATACACCTGGACCAACAAATACACCTGGACCAACAAATACACCTGGACCAACAAATACACCTGGACAAACAAATACACCTGGACCAACAAATACACCTGAACCAACAAATACACCTGGACCAACAAATACACCTGGACCAACAAATACACCTGGACAAACAAATACACCTGGACCAACAAATACACCTGAACCAACAAATACACCTGGACCAACAAATGCACCTGGATCAACAAATACACCTGGACCAACAAATACACCTGGACCAACAAATACACCTGGACCAACAAATACACCTGAACCAACAAATACACCTGGACCAACAAATGCACCTGGATCAACAAATACACCTGGACCAACAAATACACCTGGATCAACAAATACACCTGGACCAACAAATACACCTGGATCAACAAATGCACCTGGATCAACAAATACACCTGGATCAACAAATACACCTGGACCAACAAATACACCTGGATCAACAAATGCACCTGGATCAACAAATACACCTGGATCAACAAATACACCTGGACCAACAAATACACCTGGACCAACAAATACACCTGGACCAACAAATACACCTGGACCAACAAATGCACCTGGATCAACAAATACACCTGGATCAACAAATGCACCTGGATCAACAAATACACCTGGATCAACAAATACACCTGGATCAACAAATACACCTGGACCAACAAATACACCTGGACCAACAAATACACCTGGACCAACAAATACACCTGGATCAACAAATACACCTGGACCAACAAATACACCTGGATCAACAAATACACCTGGACCAACAAATACACCTGGATCAACAAATACACCTGGACCAACAAATACACCTGGACCAACAAATGCACCTGGACCAACAAATAAACGCCAAAAAAACAACAAATGAACTTCAAAATTCACGCTACAATGCACGTGACATGACTGACTTGCTTGGGAGAAACGAGGCCAGGTTTAATTAACAATTACAGGTAAGAACAGAGCGTAGGTAATTACTTGGTAGACGCCGGCTGTTCCTCGCCATTACCACGCCCCCCCCCCCCCTCCCAATTACACGCCCACAACACCCCTGTTTTAAGCTCATAAAAGTGAAAAAACAAATAAGTAATAAAATAGTGCAAACCCAATATGTTTAAACTCTCCTCGTTTGAAGGTACTACTGCTGTCGACTGTTGGGGCTTAATAGGGGTTTAGGGGGGGGGAGAGGGAGAGAGAGGGAGAGAGGGAGAGAGGGAGAGAGGGAGAGAGAGAGAGAGAGAGAGAGAGAGAGAGAGAGAGAGAGAGAGAGAGAGAGAGAGAGAGAGAGAGAGAGAGAGAGAGAGAGAGACTCATACAGGCGGCGCCCAACCACTTGGGCTGGACGGTAGAGCGACGGTCTAGCTTCATTCAGGTCGGCGTTCAATCCCCGATCGTCCACTAAGTGGTTGGGCACCATTCCTTTCCCTCCGTCCCATCCCAAAACGTTATCCTGACCCCTTCCCAGTGCTATATAGTCGTAATGGCTTGGAACTTTCTCCTGATATTTCTCCCCTCCCCTTCTTGCAGCGGGCGATAGGAAGATAGAGAGGGGAATTCCTCGTTGGTCACATCTTAAGATAGGCTGCTTAGTTCATGATATCGTCACTCTCCCTTCCTGTCACCCCTTTGCCGCTCCTTCCTGTCTTGTCCCTCTCCTGTCACCCCTTTGGCCCCCTCTACCGTCACCCCTTTGGCCCCTCTCTCATCAACCCCCCTTGCACCCCCCCCCCTCCTTCGACCCCAGCCAAACCAAGTCTCTCGAAATAACTAATTTTTCTCCCCAGCGCGTTCTTTCTCAGACCATTTTTCCTCACTCCATTTTTTAAACTTCCTGCGTTCCCACACTTTGTTTAAGAACGCAATTTTTTCTCTCCTCTTTCCTACCTCCCTCCCTTCTCTCTATCTCTTCGTTTCTCCTCCCTGTCTCCTCTCTCCCTTCCTCATCCTCCCTCTTGTCAACAGGAGGAAGATTTGTGTGAGAAACATTCTACATACTGGAAGGTACTGCGAGTGGATGTGAGACTATCTATTAGGGAATGTCCTAGTGAGGTAGACCCGGGACAACGTCCCTCGAGGTGCTGTTAACCTTCCCCCACACACACAAACACTGCGGGCTCGCCATAGCCCGTGCTGCTTGGGACTTTTTGTTCCGGGTAGAGAATCTATAACAACGATAACAACAAGAAGTGCGTTGGGAGGTTAACAGGTAACTCTCAGGTCTCCCAGGAGCAGCATATGCTAACCTTCCTAACTTCAAAATCGCTGTTAAATATATGGATGGCGAAATATTTAAAATATATTGTTCACGACGCTCGTAAGACCAAAATTGGAATATGCAGCGTTTGTATGGTGAACATATCTTTAGGAGCATAGAAATAAACTTGCAAATGTGCAATGACATGCAACTAAATGGCTTTCGGAAGAGGAAAAATTGGTATGAAGAGAGATTAGAGGTGCTAAATAAGCCAAAGCTTGAAGATGGAAGAAACAAAAGAGGAGATATGATCACTATATACAAAATATCAACAGGTAATTACAGAAACGCACAAGGCTAGTTAGCGGGATGTAAAGAGCTACATTAGAATTCCCAGTAGTCACTAATAGGTTAGCACACATACATAACCTAAATCAGCCACCCCCCCCCCCCCCACACACACATACACACATAGAGACACACCCACACTCATTCCTCTTAATGTTTACTGATGAGAAACATAAATTATGAGAAGGATTAAGACAGGAGGTCAGCAAGAAGCTACAGGATGACCTTGACAGACTAAAGGAATGGACCAACAAATGGCTACTAGAGTTCAATTCGAGCAAGTGCAAAGTGATGAAGCTAGACGTAGGGAGCAATAAGCCAAAGTGGTTGCCAAAACACAAACACAAAGCCAAACACAAGGTACCAG